GTAAGAGTAAATAGATCCAGGAAAATAATATAAAACAAAGACTACAGCAGTGTAAATGAAAACAAACAAAACTCTGTAATTGTAATGACCAACCTTTACCTGACAGAATGTACTTTTTTTTGTTGTTGTTATAGAGGTAGGGGACTATGGTTCTAGAATATTGCATATGTTATCAATCAAAGTTGGTTTTGCTTAACTGTTTAGTTTTTTTCCCCCTTTGTTGAAAAGGAAAGCTCACTGGGTAGGGGAGGCAGCATATTCAGAATTGACTATGATATAAAAACAAAAGTCATCAATAAAATCTTATAAAGAAGTCATTATAAGATGAAGAAAAGGAGGTGCGGCAATGTGCAACAGCAATGCAGCAGTGAGAGTATGAGCATAAATATCTAGTGGACCCAGTTAGCATCATCTCATAGGGAGTGAGAAAGCATATGGTGGGGGTAGCCGGGGAAGGAGGGAGGAGTAGAAACATCTGGAGAGACCTATAAATGTAAAGAGAAATCCCCCACAAACTTAGATTTTACAAAGATGTGTATGTAAGATGGGAGCAAGAGCAGGGAACCCTTCCAAGAATTGTATGCTAAATTCTCAAGCTTGGGTTGAGCCGGTGACCTTCAGCTGGAGGGGAAAGCTAAGGATAACATGGAATGTTTTCTTTGTTCCATGTAAAAGGAGGATCAAAGGAAGAGATAGTGTTGCTACTTGGGAGAGTTGGAGTGATGATAACTGAAGCCAGACGGCTCTGAACTTTAGACTAAAAAGGACATCACCAAAAAATGTCTTCTAAGAGAGTTGATACTCAGTATAAAGAAGATGATAAGAGTACCTAAGCTGCCCTTGATAAACTATGCCTTGAAGTGTTAAAAGAACTGACAGATGTGACTGTTGAGATACCGTCAGCGATATTGGGCTTGTTTTGTTTTTTTGGAAGCAGAAAATTTTTTTATTAAAATTTTTTTTCTATTATCAAGTATTTTTTGTCTTCCTCCCATCCATCCCAGCCCCTCACCCACTGAAAATTTAAAAAAAATTATCAGAACCCCATATCCAAAAATGTGTTTCTTATTTTGCATACTAGTCCGTCATACCTCTGTCAAGAGATAGGCAGCATCCTTCTTTATCAGTCCTCTGTAATCGTGATTGATCATTTAATTGAGCAGAGTTGTTAAGTTTTTCAGAATTGTTTTTTTTTAACAATTTGATATTATATTAAAATTGCTCTTCTGATTCAGCTCATTTCACCCTGAATCAATTCGTACAAGTCTTCCAGATCTCTATAAAACTGTCTTTTTTTTTCATTTCTTAGAGCAAATAGTATTGTATTACATTTATATACTACAATTTGTTCAACTATTCCCCAATTGATAGGCATCCCCTTAATTTTCAGTTCTTTACCACCACAAAAAGAACTGCTATAAATATTTTTGTACATAGAGGACTTTTTCCTCTTTCTTTGATCTCTTTGGGGTATTGACCTAGCAGTGGTATGCACTGTTTAGTAACTTTTGGGGCACAATTCCAAATTGTTTTCAGAATTTTTGCCGAATTCATACCTTTACAAACAGTACATGTGTGCCTGTTTTCCCAAAGCCCCTCTAACATTTGTCATTTATATTTCTTTGTCATCTTCGCCAGTCTGACAGGCTATGAAGTAGAACCTCAGAATTGCTTTAATTTGCATTTCTCTTAATTATTTGCTATTTGGAGCATTTTTTCATATGCTTTAGGTGGCCTGAGAAACCCTTGAGGACTTCTTGTTCATACCCTTAGACTATTTATCAGTTATGGAATGGGGTCTTAATAAGTGTGAATTTCAGACCTTTATCAAAGAGACTTAATGCAAGATTTTTCCCCCTATGTTAACTGTTTCCCTTTTAATCTTAGGTATATTGGATTTGTTTTTGCAAAATCTTTTAAATTTTTAAATAATCCTAATTATCCATTTTTATCTGATGTGATACTCTGTATCTCTTGTTTGGTCATGAACTCTACCCTATCCATAGATCTGGAAGGTAATTTCTTCCACGTTCCTCTAATTGGCTTATGATGTGACCTTTTGTATATAGGTCACATATCCATTTATATCTTGTCCCAGGATAGCTAGGTGGCACAGTGGATAGAGCACCAGCCCTGGAATCGGGAGGACCTGAATTCAAATATGACCTCAGACATTTACTAGTTTTGTGACTCTGGGCAAGTCACTTAACTTTCTTTGCCTCAGTTTCCTCATCTGTAAAATGAGCTGGAGAAGGAAATGGCAAATTACTCCAGTATCTCTGCCAAGAAAATCCCAGATGGGATCACAAAAAGCCAGAAACAACTGATTGACTAAACAGCAAAGCTTGTCTTAGCATAAGGTGTGGAGTATTGGTCTAAAGCTAATTTCTGCCAGACTGCTGCCCAGTTTTCCCTGAAGTTTTTGTCACATAGTGAGTTCTTGCCCCAGTACCAGATTCTCCAGGTTTATGAAACGCTAGACTCCTACATTTGTTTGCTCTGACTGTTGTTTACCTAATCTGTTCTACTGATTGGCCTCTCTGTTTTTTAAAGAGTACCTAGTTATTTTGAGAATTCCTGCTTTGTAGCACATTTGAGATCTGGTACTGTTAAACCCCTTCCTGCTGACTTTTTTTTCATGATTTTTCCCACAATTATTGACCTTTTGTGCTTCTATATGAATTTCCTTATTTTTTTTTCTAGTTCTATGAAGTAATCCCTTGGTAGTTTGATTGGTATGGCACTAAATAAATTAATTAATTTAAGTACTCTTAGAATTTTTAGTATTTTGGTTCAGCCTACCCAAGAATGATTTAATATTTCTGCAGCTATTTTGCTCTGCCTTTATTTCTATAGACAATGCTTTGTTCTTGTGTATATCTTGGTAGGTAGACTCCCACGTACTTTATACATTCTGTAGTTATTTTAAATGAAATTTCTCTTTCTATTTCTTCCTGTTGAGTTTTATTGGTGTTACACAGAAATGCTGGTGATTTGTGTGGGTTTATTTTATATCCTACAACTCTGAAGTTATTAGTTGTTTAAGTTAATGTTTTAGTTGACTCTCTTCTGTACTATATTTTCTCAGTTTCTTTTTCTTTAATGTCTCTCTTATTCTGAAGTTGTGCCTCTTTATGCTCCTGTCCTTGCTTCCCATTTATTAACCAAGTAGAGCTGACTGATTCTACCCCTAGGATGAATGGACACCAGATACTTTTCTGTGTTCTTAACTACAAGCTCCAACTACTTCCATATCTCAGAGTGATGTTATTTATTGCCCCATGGTAGACCCTTCCCCCTCAGGACAAAAAATCCAGCAGTCAAGCATATGTACTTAACATTATTATAAAGAAGAATGCATGGTTATATATGATATCAATATATTCTCATTCTTCCCTAATAATTGGACAGAATCATATCACTACAGATTGTAATAAGGTTGGAAAGAGTAGCATGGCATAGATTTCAAAGAGAGGTTGTTGATATTTGGTAGAAGGGACATCCATATGTGACAATGGGGAACAAGGAACAAGCTGACTTCCCCTGCCAGGCCATAATCCGTGGCAAGGAGGAAAAGAAGCAGACTTCATTGGGATGTATATTTAAACATTTATTTATAAATAATTTGTACTTATTAAGACTCAAGGTAAATAACAATTTGAAATACAGAAGGTTATAAGGCCCGAGTCTTGTATGCTGCTAAAAAAAAAATACTGGTCAATCAGAAATGAAGATAAAGTCCTGATAAAATTATAATGCAAAACAAGAGGAAAACAATCCGATTTCTACAATTTCATATTCTCCCCATTGTTGTTTGCTTTGCATGTTTTGTATTTGCTTATGTATGTATTGTATCCTCCTGGCAGAGGGGTTGTTAACCTTTGTTGTGTCATAGAACTCTTGACAGCCTGATGAAGCCTGTGGATCCAAAATCAGAATAACTTTTTTAAATACATAAAATATGTAGGATTACAAAGGAAGCCAAGAATATTGAAATATAGTTATCAAAATGAAAAAAAAAGTTCACAGACCCCAGGTTAAGAACACCTGATCTAGCAAAACATAAACTCCCTGAGGACAGAAAACTTTCATTTTTGTCTTTAGATGCTGTCCTCAGCACTTAACACAGTGCCTGGCCCATAATAGGTGCCAATTTAATATTTATTGAATTGAATTTTCCAGGTCACACACTGAGTAAAGGAAGATATGCCAGTAAATGATTTTCAGATTTATCGTTGTTGCCGTTCCCCCAACTAGTGCTTCGTGTGTTTGGGAGAATGAGCTTCACAACTGTTTGCCATAGCGATAAGACAAGAAAAAGAAACTGAGGGAACAAACTTGGGTAAAGAAGAAACACAATTATCCGTTTCTACAGGAGACATGCTAGCATACCAAATTATCTTTAAGACTAATAACATAAAGTTGTGGTGTTGGGTTGGTTTTTTTTTTTAACTTCCATTAGATTATAAGCTCCTTGAGGACTATTTTTTTGCTTTTCTTTGCATCCCCAGTATGGTGTCTGGCATATAGTAAGAGCTTATTAAATGCTCATTGTTATTTTTCTTTGGTAGTATTAGCTAAGATTCATACTTATTTGCATAATATCTGTATGCTATACAAATATATGTATTGTTTGTATGTGTTTTTTCTCCAGTATAGCAGATCGACATAACAGTGTAAACATTTTTATTTGTGATTAGAGAAATATAAGTTATATTGGATGCTATTTTTCATGCGCTTATGTAAAGATAACTTCACTCACGTTTTTCTCTCCCATTTTACTTACTTATTGATATATTCCCATTGAACTCCCTCCTTTAGCTTTTATCACTCAGTCTGTTTCAGAAAAGTGGTTTATATGGAAGATGACAGAAAAACATCATGACACTCCAGTGCGAATGAACCTCAGTTTGGGTGATGTAGTAGTTTATTTCAGTAATATCACTGTGCCCTCCCTTAAGTGAAATTTTTATGGATTTTATGTCTCTATCATTACACAGGAGACCTTCATTCAGGAAGATCATTTATCGTGCTTCGGGAAAAGAAAAGGTTTAACAGCAGTTTTCTGGACTCAGCTACTCACTGTGAAAATTGTCTTGGGTGGGGGGGGAAGGGTAAGAAAAAAGTAAAGATTTATATTTTGTGGTTGGTGAATCAATCAGTTACCATACTCTCTTCATTTAATGTCCATTTTAACATTATGATTTTCATATCTAAATGAGAAAAACCACAATACACCTTTTACTCATTCCAAAATTAAAGAAAGCTCAACCTAAAAAATTATACTCCTGGCCATGGCATTGACATTTCTTTTTATTCTTTCTTTTTTTTGTTGCTTGTTTGGTCCACTTCTCTATTTCTGTGAGTGAAGGGAAAATTTCACCACCAACACAGACTTGTACGGTCTTCAACTTTATATATAATCTCAGGTAGCTTCCTCAGGTGCTAAGAAATTAAGATTCAGACCTTGAATGCAAGTTTTCCTCACTCCAAGGCCCATCATATACCATGTCATGCTGGTATTTTGAAAAATGTGTTTTGTTCTCTTTAGCTACTAAAAAAAAATTTACTAATGAAGTAGGTCCTGAGAAGACCCAGAATGCTTCAAAAAAGGACCTTAGATATATGTGCACAATGTGGAAATTTTAGCACTTTTCCTCCCTTATTCAAAGCATTTTTAACCTACTTAGAATGCACAATAAATAAAACTATTCAGCAGATCCTGGCAACTTTTAGATTCAGTAGAAGGTGCTTCTGAATAGAAAAGATTTTTAATTGATTACCAGTAACTACCTAAATGGGCCTTATTTTTTAATTCCTTTTTAACATTATAGTGAAAAAGCAAGATAAAATGGTCTTGTAGGTAGCAGTCATAAGAAAACCAAAAGAAGGTAATCTGTGGAAGAAAGGACACAGGGTCACCTGGGACCCTACCCATCCAACTATACTCCGTGTTTCCTAGGACATTAATTCTAAGCCAGGCATATTTATCTCCCTTAAGGATTTAGTTTTGTGGCTGTTGCTTTCCAATATCCTTTTCTGAGGACTGACAAAGTTCTCCTTATCCAACATGGGACAAAAGGAGGAAGAGAGGAAGGAGGCCCAAACCCTAGCCTATCCCAAAGGGGGAAATAGGCCTGAGAAGTAAAAGCAGAAGCAATGGCACTATAGCTTTCCTATAGGTCTCAAGAAAGTTGAAAGCATGGCCTCGCAGTAAATGTCATCACTCAACCGCTGCTAATCATTGCCTGTTTTCTAGATCTTGGAAGCTTTAGAAGCAAGGAACAGTATAGACCAGGATTAAACGAATTCCATGATGCTCAATTCATTGGGATCCTTACATCTGTGCCCCAGCCCTCCACCTGTTTTTCATGTGCCTAACTAATAAGATATTCTATAAGATAGAAGGATAGATAAGATGCCTCTAATGCACATTAACCTGAGGCCAAATCTACCCCACCTTCCCCAATTGAGTTATTTGCAACCATCATGATTTAAGCCAAAATTTCTGATGTTTGCTCAGATGATGGATGAAAGTGGAAATCACAAGGAAGCAATGGTCTGTAGCAATTTATCTTCGAAAGGTCATGCATGGTGTGGTTAGAACATTTCTACAGTGAAAAGTTATAGTAATATCTGTATTTCCAGGTAAACTCAGTAAAAGCAAATACTTATATGCTAAAACAATATTATTTTGTAAAAATCACTGGAACATTCAGAATTATAGAGTAAAATGAAAGTATCCTAAGGGGTCAGTGTTCTAACAAAAGTATTATATTGTATCAACACTCTTTTGTCAGCTCTGATTAATATTGAATGACTGAAGAACAATGTTAATAAAAGACAGTTTACCAACTTCTAAGTTGCTTTCAATTCAATTTAACATTTATTAATAAGACCTAAATAATACCCTTATTGCATCAAAAATCAAAAGGAATCAATCTGCTGGAAAAGTACTTCTCAGTAGCTGTTTTGACTATTCCTAAAGTTAAAGTTCTCAGTTAAAAGTTTATTATTTTTTAATAGTGTACATTTAAAGGCCCAGTACCAGATTGCATAATTCAAGGAACAGTCTAGCTAAAATTAGAGAGGCTTATGACCAGATTGGCCTCAAGGTGATAAATATTTTGGACACAACTTATAGAAGACAGACCTGCTAAGTTCTAGCAGATGCAACCACAGTTGTTGGAGGGATTACACATACCTATGAAACCATAGGTCCTTAAAGCATAAGATACACTGGATGAATGATGTAACATTAATGAACATATTGGCCCCTATCCTCAAGGTGCTTGCAATGACAAAGTAAAAGACGGGCCCACCCAAAGTCAGCCAAGGTAAGGAAAGAGAAGATGAAAAGATGATGGCATAAGAAAAGGCTTTGGCTCCCTACATATCAAGGTTCTTCTCTTTCTCTTGTGTGAAGTTTAACTTTCTTTTCATCAACACTGCCTCTGGTGGTAACAGGTACATGGTTAATCACGTCAAGGCAGATTTGGGCAATTTATGTTGCTTGAAAAACTAGATTAACAGTAACAAAAGAGTTTTGATTTGTAGCTGTCTTAAAATGTCTATTTAGAGGAGGGGGAAAATATCATTTATTATACAAATACCAAACAATGAAACTCTATATTTTGACTCTCTATCTGTATGCGTTTCGGTAAGTAATTTTACCTTCCTGGACCTGTTTGCCTCATCTGTAAAATTCAGGAGTTGGACTAGATTGTCTGCCTAGAGTCCTTTCAACTGGTATTGTAAAGAACTCGCATGCTCCTAGGGAAAGAATTTTAACTATTTTAGTTCACTGGGGCATCTTTCTATACAGGGTGCCCCAAAAGTCTTAGCGTACTCTTAAGCCGTTAGAGCTTTGAACAGTGTATCAAGACCGTTTAGGTGAGCCATATATGTTTTGTCATGGTCCCTAGCAGACTGAGAAGGTTGGATGTGTCTTACCCACAAACCTGATTTTCCCCAATGCCTAGCTGAAGTAGTTATTCTTCCCCTATGGCTTTTTGTGGGTTCCAGGATAGTTCATTGTTTGAAGGCTCAATGTTAAAGGACACTGTACCGACTTCTAAGTTGCTTTGTCGCTTAGAAGTTAAGCTCTTGAGGATGTACATTAATTCATTAAGACTATCAAACGCCATTTAGGTCAGAGAAGCAGTGCCCATTTGAAAGCACAGACCAGTGACGTTAAAATGAGGAGCAAAGTCTCTTGCGATTTGGGGGATCCAGTGCATCCAGAGAGTGACAAGGTAATGCCTAAGTAAATTTATTTTCCTTACCACACAGACCATGTAGGCCCTTACTGTTTTAGAAGGTTATCCTAAAGATATCAAAGCAGTGAAATCTAGGCAACGCAAATAACTAAGTTAGCATAAACATCTGGGACCAAGCATCCAGGAAATGCATAAAATGCTCACAGATCACTATTTGACAAATTTCAGCAGATTTTTGAAATGATGAAATTCCATATCCTTAAAAACCCATACTTCTTTCCTTTCTGTTTAGTGCTTCCCTTGAAGTCATGTAAACCGATCATTTATAGTGCAAGAATTTTTTCTTTAACATTTTATTAGCAACTAAATAACAATACTAACTGTATTTGCCTAGTAACTTATTTAAATTAATTACTTCATATGATGGAACCAGTATCGTAACTGTAGGTAAAGAGCTGGCCTCAGAGTAGGACATTCATGGGCTCAAGACCTGCCTCTGGGGAGGCAGAGCCAAGATGGTGAAGTAGAGGGAGCATTCCGGCCAAACTCTCCCAAAATTCCCTTCCAAACAACTTTGACGTGACATAGCCAACCATAGGTGAGGGTAAGACATTTTTCCAGCCCAGAACAACCTAGGAGATCGGGAGGACAGATCTGTGATGCTGGGGTGGGGGCCAGCCACCATACATGCAGCAGCAACAACAGCTGTGGGTCTTGGAAGTGCTGTCCTAGCAGCAGCAACAGTATCAATGGCTCCAGGAGCGCTTACCAAAGAGACATTAAAGGGACCAGACGACTGGTCAGGAGGAGATTACGGGGGAGCCCTGAGCTAGCACTGGGCGTAGGACCAGGCACTGTTTGTCAACTCCAGGCAAAATACCCAGTTGTGTTTAGAGTGGAGAGGAGAACTTGTCGTCACAAGGGAGCAAGGGCCGTCTCAGGGTAGAATGGAGTGCTAGCACTGTGACTGCAAGAGAGAAGGGGCCTTTCTTGGCTGTGGAGGAGAGTGTAGACCATGAGATCAGTGACCACACCTCTCCTCAGCTCGCACCAAAAGCCTACAAACCCCCAAAACTAGCTGTGAAAACAACAGTGTGAAAAAGCCTGAAACTTGCAATAGCAGTGTCCCCTCCCTACTAGGTGAGCCGAGCCCAACTTTAACGTAAAGTTAGAAGTTAAAAAATAGGTTGGGAAAATGAACCATTAACAAAAAAAGAACCTTGCCATACTACCTGTCACCATGTCGACAGGGATGATCAAGACACAAACTAAGAAGAAAATGATGTGGAAAATAGCTACAAGCAAAATCTCAAAGAACAGTGCAGATCTAAACAAACCCAACAAGAATTCCTGAAAAAGGATTCTAGAAAAATGGTGGAATAAGGCAGGAAATTGCTTGGCTCTCCTAAATTCTCCCACAAACAATATAAAATAATGCCTCAAAGCAAACTTTGAGCAGCAGAAATAAAAGTCAGGGTAAAGCAGTTGTCCAGACTAAGAACTTGGGAGGATGTTAGGAAAGACTTAACCCCCCAGAGTGGGTGGTTTGACCTAATTAAAGTACAAATACTAGACAGATACTGCCAAATCAACAAACGACAAGTAGCTGTGTTGGGCTGCAGCCTCAGCTTCGGGAACTTTCTCCCCACAGACGATGTGGGGGTTAAACAGCTGGTCAGGGGAAGATTTCAGGGCCTTCCGCCAGTGCTGGACCACCTGATGTGGTCCTGGGCTGTGGCTGTGAATAAGGAGAAGTGAGCACATGCCACTGAGTGCAGTCACAGAAGTCAGGGATCCTGCTGGCTACGGGCACTCACAGAGTCCCTGGTTTTGGTTCCAGGGCAGAGGGGTGAGCTGGAGCTTGCAACTGTGGAAGAGCC